CCCCCAACCCAGGACAGGGTCTGAGAAGCTTCATTCTCTCTCCAAGCCGACTGGGCCCCGCCGCGAGAAGGCCACCAGGCCGGCAGCACCAAGACGGCCTGAGGCCTCAGGCGCCGCGCCCCGGCCGGACCAAGCAGGTTCCTGCAGCCCCGCATCAATCCCATGAGAGTGCCCCCAGCCCGAGTCTGCCACTGCAGTCCGAGCTTGTCACCGCGACGGTGTGAGCCGCCCTGCATTCCTACCCCGGCCCGGGGTCTCTGAGCCCCGACACTCACTCGCCCTGCGGGATCCTTGTGCTCCGCCCTGTAAGTGACTTCAGGCTCCACTGAAAACTCGGGTTCCTAGGCGTGCACTTCCGGGTACTGTCTAGGCAGCTCAGAGGTCTAATCTCGATTGCAAATTCTCTAATCCCGATTGCGGGTTTTCTAGGGGCTGCTGGGGAGCTGGGTCCATAGCGACCTGCCGATGGGGACTTATTTCGGTATTTGTGCTTCCCCCAGGAAGGACTGTAAGAGGATGGAACAGAATTCTCTATTTGCCCTACCATTGCCTAAGTGGACCAAGGATCTAAATCGGTTGTTTCCTTCTTTGCCATTCCCTATCCGTGTGCACCCCATCTGCTTCCTCTGCTTGACTCCTGCCTCGATTTACCACCCATCTCACCTCCCTTTTTCATAATCACAGGCCAGCTTAACCCTGCTGGGCCCGAATTTGTTACCTAGGCCCTCAGTCCACCCTGTCCTCCTCTTCCTTTGAGGCTTCAACCCAGCCCCTCCCAGTTTTGCCTGGAGTATATAAACAAGCAGGAGGGTACCCACACCAATATGAGGAAGAAAAACTTTAGAGAGATCTAGATCCAAAGACCCTACTGCACCTAGAGTACAGATTTGTCAGAAGCATATTTGATATGTTGAAGTAGGAAAAACACGTTAAGAAAACAAGTTGTATATGATAAGGGTAGTTTCCTGCTAGACTCGGAAATAACAGGTACCAGTTGTGGAGTACTTAAACTGACATCTTGTTAATCCTCACAATAATCCCATGAGGTTGGTATATTTACTATTTTACATGCCAGAAGCTGCAGAGGTATTTAGCAACTAGAGGCATCTGAACCCTGGTCATTCAAACCAGAGCCTGGTGTCTACCTGCACCCAGGAAGGACTACAAAGAAAGCCTGGGTGGAGATTTGTATGTAATATGAGCAACTGCAGAAAAGAAAAAAGACAGACACTTGTAATTATACCCAAGTTTTAAATTTATAAACATGAATGAAATACAAATATGAGGTTAACCATTTTCTAAAATGAAGAGAGCATATAGAATGCGTCAGCAAAATAAAAAATTTACAGTATCATTTTCTTGTCGATTTGTACAGGGCACCATCTGATTTCTGATTGAAATCGCTTACAGTCTTGCATTCAACATTGGTTCCTTCATGCACTCGTATTTTGAAAATGTGCTGTCATGATACGAATGTTAGGAGACAGATGTTACAGTTTGCTGACTCCAGTAGGGAGTGCTTGTTGGGAGGTAGTTCCTACCCACAGCCCAGGATGCCTGATCATTTCTCTAGTCATATTTAAGTTCTCCAAACCAAGAATATCCCTCTCTGGGTAATGCTAGTCCCGCACTGCTAAATAGTTGCTTATTAATTCTCTTTTTTAGATTTTATCTCATTTCTATACAAACACCTTTATTTGTGTTTTTATATTAGTATTTATAACTTCGTGGCACTTACTATATGACCAGTACCTTTTACATTATCTCTTTAATTTTCATGCTGTTATTAACTACATTGTATAGACAAGAAAACTGGAGAAGCTAAGTAAAATTTCCAAAGTCACACAGCTAGTAAACAGCGAAGTTCAAATGCAGGTATATCTAATTCCAAAGCCACTGCTTTGACAACTACTCTAATTTGTCTTTACTCAGTGGATGGTTTAATTCATTAGATTAAGTTAACTATATCCATTGGCTAGCACTGAATATCATAGCACCTGGCAATTGTATTATTGAATGGGTAGATGAGGTTACAGTTTTAGATGTGAGAATCTCATGATTTGCTGAGATGACACCCAGGGGCCTCCTTTGAATTTTATTCTTAAACTTCCTCAGTTACTCATATACTATTTCCTAAGGTAAAGCATTTCTCCAGAGAGCATATTACCCTGAAAATGCCATATTCTTTCATCTGTAGGCTTTCTGACATGCTCTCTTCTTGCCTGAAATACTCTCCCTGCTCCTCTTCCAGCATACTGCATCTCTCCAAGTCTACCTCTACCCACTTCTTTGCTCAAGCCAAAACCTAGGAATCAAACTTGATTTTCCCATTACCCACTTTGCTCCACTGCTATATAACCAGAGGTGACAGTAAATCTTGGTAAGGATACATGTCCATCAGCAAGTTCTAGTTAGCAGAAAAAATTAAGAGTGGTTTGGTCATTGAAAAATGAAAATATAAGTCTAGTGATGGAAGTGAGAGTGGCAAGATATATGAATTTGGGAGCTTTGACCTGTAGCCTGTAACTGTCAAAATTGTCTAAGTCTATTCCAAGGTGGGGAGGGGGTCTCCAGATCCCAAAATATATTGGAATATTTTCTCCTAGTATCCCAGGAGCATTTAGGATCAGCTGCAAACCAATAATAGTGAATCACTGGGGTGTAACAGAGAATTCAAGAGCTACCAAGGAAAACTGTGGTTGGTGTCTAATACCAATTTCATGATGATGGAAAGCTTTGGAGTCAAATAGACCTGACTTTAAACTTGCTTTGTGACCCTAGTACACCTCAGTTCCTCTGTAAAACAGAGCTAGTTCCCTTGAAGAATTAAAGATTAAGTTTGAATATGAATGTACATACATGTACATCTTGGTGGGTGGGCAGAAAATCAATAAAATTAGGTGTCCCTTAACTATTAGATTTCTTCTCTTCCCTCTCCAATCTTCAAGATTAAAAGACTAAGAACACAAACTCATATTGTATTGGACAGATTACTTATCCGCAAGTATTAAGTGGCAAGTTACTTGCCCTCAAGGATTATTTTGGTTTCTTTTTTTAAAGTGTATTTTTAAAGCACACATACACACATTCTGCCTAGACTGAAACCTCTAATGATTTACTCTTATGTACTGACAGCAACCCGAATGAATAACCCTTTAAATCTTAAATATTCAGACTTTGTTCTTCTACAGGTTTGTGGAAGAGCAAGTATCAGTAAAAGGAGAATGATTCACTCTTGTGAAGCAGGTTTCTGGAAGAAACTGAGTTTGCAATCAGGAAGGTGACTCTAAGATTCCCAAATGTTTCTGGTAAAGGCCTTCAGATTTTATTTGAAACAGATTCTGAGTATCAAACATACCTTTATTCAAATGGAGGTACAAGAGCACATTCCTAAAACAAATGCATACATGTGATTTTTACATGTTCTGCTATTTAGGGATTATTTGTTTCATAATCACTGGAGGTGACTATTAGTCTCTATACGTGAGGGTATACATGTTCACTAACAGAAAAAACATGCATTTTCATTTGCTTTTACATTTAGATCAATTCATTTAGATCCCTACTGTAATCCTATGCTTGCTGATGGCTGAGAGGTAAAATATAGTGGGGTAAGACTACCTTAGAGGTTAGCCATAAGATGCTTATAAAGAGAGCAATACATTTTATATACTTGCTGAGGATCCTTAGTGAATATTATAACATCTGAACTATGAAGGCCTCAATTGCTGGAATGACTGGAATTTTAAATAACACTTGTCTTATTCACAAAATGTTATGAAGCTTAAGATGGAAAAATATAATAAAATGCTTTGACATCATCTAAAGAATCATAAACTGTTGCTAGGTGTTATGATGGTGACCCTGAACTCTGGAGCTAACATCTGTGATCATCTTTATGAATCAAAAAAAAACCATAATGGCTTGTAGACTCTAGTAAAATACAAAAAAAAAATAAAAAATAAAAATAAATTGTGATAATAAATTACAAAAAGCCTCTACACTTCAAATACTGTCCTGAATTGATGAAGGGAGACTGAGGGCGGAAATCCAAACAGATAAAGAAGCAATCGTTAACAGTTAAAATTTTACCAGGAACAGACCTATCACTCTCTTGAAATATTCTCGCTAGAGATATTACGTAAGAACCCCAATATCTTTGTTGGAAGGCTGAGCTCTCTGCTTTATGAAGCTCTCGGATTTTTTAGTATATGTTCATTATGTTTTGCCCTATCAAAAGATGACCTGAGCATTCTGCTGGCTTTCAATGGAAGTATATAAATTCTAAACTTAAGACATACAGAACAGGCGCTGAATGAACATTAACTAGACTACGAGAGTCTTGTTGGCTCTCTTGGTGTCCTTATCATTTCTTGTAGAGGGCTGTGGATGTGGACAAGGCAGTTTAGAACTTGGGCATCACTTGAAAATGTTTAGCTGCCTGCCATAAACTCAGGGGAGACAGAATTCTTCATATTCATAGATGGACAGGATGCAAAAATCCAATTCTTTTAAAGGAAGATGCTTCATTTTAAGAAAGAAGACGCCCAAATAGCAACATGAAGTAGGGAAGGCATACCTGTTGGTGAAAAGTTAAAAGTAGGAAACCATCATTGCAAGATGCTTAAGAAAATGGAGAAATCAACAGGACTCTAAGTGTTGTGGCTGGAAACGAATAAGTAGAGTCCTCAGAAAAGAGCAGGCCTAACAGTCTGTTTTGGAGAGAATCTGGGCTGAGAAAAGCAGAACAAGCTAAATGAGCTACTTTCCAGACGCTGATAAGTTTTAACATTAGTGTAATAACAATATCATAGGAAAGCTGTGAAGAACAAGTACCAACTTCAACAAAAATAAAAATGCTTATAGGCCACATTAAAATATAAATAGCTTAAATGAATTCCATAAATAAAGTATACATAGTTACTTACAACACCTATTACATTAAATAAAAGAATGCCATGAGAAAACAGCACTATATTCACCAAGTCACTCCTCTGACAAGATTCTTCTGCAATGAAAAAGACTGCGACTATATATTAACAATTTCACATACAAATAATCAACAATTTTCTCTCCAATATTTTGATGTTGAAGAAAGCCTGAAATATGAAAGTAAATTTTTCCATTTGCATATCAGATTCTGCTCTGGTGTAGTAGATATTCTGATGATGAAAAAGACTTAAACTCTTACATTCAAATGACTTCTCTAGGGTATGGCTTCTTTGATGTTGAATAAGGATTGAAATATGACTGAATCTCCCCCCATACACACGCATTGATTACATTCATAGGCTTTCTACACAGAATGAATCTGATGCTGAACAAGGTAGTTTCTTTGAAGGCTTTTTCACATTCATTAAAGTGATGTAATTTTATTTCTGTATGACTTCTCCAATGGTGACTAAGGTACGAACACAACATGAAGCATTTACCACATTCAACATATTTGTAGGTCTTCTCATTGGTATGGGTTTGCAGGCATCAATTAAGAGTTTAACTAATAGCTTTCCTACATTCGTCACATTGAGGGTTTCTCTCTAGTGTGGACTCTCCAATGCTGAATAAAGGTTGAACTATGACTGAAGATTTTACCATATTCAGTACATACGTGATTTCTCCCTGGTGTGAACTCTCAGATGTTGAATGAGGCCTGAACTTGACTAAATGTCTTCCCACGTTCATTACATTCATAAGGTTTCTCTTTGGTATGAATTCTTTGATGCTGAACAAGGTGTGCTCTCTGACTGAGGTTCTTTTCCCACACATCACAATCAAAGGTGAGGACTTCTCGTTGCAGGACAAGATCTGAGCTATGATTAAACCTTTCCTCATAATCATTACACTCAGAGGATTTCTCTTTCCTATGAATTTTGTGATGCTGAATAAGGCATGAGGTTTGACTGAAAGCTTTTCCACATTCATCACATTCATGTGGTTTCTCTCCTGTGTGAATTCTTTGATGCTGAATAAGATGGGAATTCGATCTGAAGTCTTTTCCACATTCATTACATGTATAGGGCTTTTCTCTGAGATGAACTCCTTGATGTTTACTAAACGTCACCCCACATTCATTGTATTCATAGGCTTTCTCTTCACAGTGAACCTTCTGATGTTCCACTAGGTATGAGGTATGATAGAAGTCACTGTCACATACAGTACACTTACAGAGCATGTCTCTGTGAATTCTCTGATGTTGAGCAAGGTGTACACTACGACTGAAGACTCTTTCACAATTGCTACATTTATAAGATTTTGCTCTAGTGTGAATCCTCTTATGCTGAATTACGCCTGAGCTCTGACTCGATGACTTATCAGATGATTCACAGGACTTATCAGGCGCTTCACATTTATAGGGTTTCTCTCTAGTATGTATTCTTTTATGTCGACTAAGACTTGAGCTCTGACTGAAAGATTTTTCACATTCTTTACATTTATAGGGTTTTTCTCTGGTATGAATTCTCTGATGTCTAGAAAGTGCTGAGCTCTGATGGAAGATTTTCTCACATGCATCACATTTATAGGATTTCTCAGTGGGAATACTCTCACATTTACTAAGGTGGGAGAGATCCATTAAGCTTTCTTTATATTCACTACTCTGAAAATTCTGTGTTAGATTTATTTGTTCATGTTTAACAGCAGCTGAATTCTGGTTGCGGCTCATGTCATACTTATCAGTGTCATCAACACTCTGTATTCTAAGATCTCTCTGATCTGTATCAAGGGTAGTTTCCAGACTGAATCTTCTTTCAGGTTCATTACATTCATTGTTCTGACTGGTGAAGGTTTTCTTGCTGATTGTTATTTGCCTAAACTCTCTCTCCAGGAACAGAAATTTCCTTAGGATTTCCTGAAGCCTTTCTAATCTGTCCTCAGGTTTATACACTTCTCTAGTTTCAGGAACTTGGGCAATATCCTTTTTCAGTCTTCCTACTCTCACTTTGTATGAATGCACTTCTTCTGAAATTTTCTGCTTAGGAATCAACAGCTTGTTCTCTTCTCTGGTTTCTCCATCTGATTCAATATATAAATAGAAAATGCAAATGTAATCTGTACCCTGTGCTTAGAAAAAGAAAACTCAGAGAGGAGAAAACTAAATAAGCTACACTCTACCGGGATAAGAGAAGTTTATTTATTCTTGAAACACAGGCACAAAATCTCAACAGCAGATGTAAAGGCATGAATAGAAGCAGGTAGAATCCAAATGATTTAGGGTGTGGTAGAAACAGAAAATACTTTCAGCAGAGTCAAAAAATAACCAATTAAGATGTTTCAAAGGAGTTAATAGGAAAATAGTTCAAAAGAATTATAGATAAGCAACTTGAATAGGGACAATAAGGCACAAAATAAATACAAAGAGTTCATCAAAACTGAAGGGAAAAGGAAAGAGCTCTCCATCCTTGGATATAGACAGAGCTCTTCATTTTGACTGCCTGAGCGGCTATAACTTGGCTCAACAAATGGATTTTACTTCCCTATTAATTCCATCTGATTAATTCTGCCTTACTCACCTGAGCAGTCATCTCTTAAGACTTCTCTATTCTTAGTTTCCAGATCAAAGACCTGTAGATCTTGTTCCAGCTGGGAGATCCCATCAGGCTTGGAAATTGGAAATCCTGCTCATAGAGAAGGAAATGGGATGTGGCAATTTGTCCCCGGATACTACGTCAGCCACTTTTTCTATTAACTAATGGTTAATGGAGAAAGTAAGTTCTTAGAAGACATTAGGAAGGCCTGGAGAGTGAGAGTGACAAAGATCCTCTACAAGGAGCTCCTATTTGTGCTCTAAAAAGAGATGTGTTAAGGGGCAAGTTGATGACTTTGGGGAGCAAGAATAGTCATTTAAACATTACTCAGACAAGGAAATTTGTGCATGGGATAATTTCACAGAAATTATCATTTTCATTTCTCATCTGCTGCCTATAGATCAATTTTGTATTAGACCTGATCTACAGTATCAGACCTAGTCAAAATTGTTGTCATCAGAAAGGTGAATATTTAAGCACCCGGTGTATGGTGAGCTGAGCTGTAGCAACAGAATCAGTAATGACTGAACAAATATTCCTAAAACCAATCTCAAGAAGCAATTCATTTCAGTTCACATGAGGAAACAAAGAATAATGACACATTCTCACCCGTTAGGAGCTTATACTCTTGTTTATCCAACAAATATTTATGGGGGCCTCCCATATGCAAAATATGTAGGGGATAAAGAGCCCACGCCGATAAGGTCCATCCCCTCAAGGACCTTACACTCTTAACTGCAGAGACAGATATAAACTAACTATAATGATGTAGTGAGGAAAGTACAATGTAAGTACATCTTCACATAAAATGGTCTTTCTTTGGTATAGTGGACTGCAAGGATCTAATCTCTTTTAAAGCATAAGTAAGGCAGTCTGCTTCTGAAGAGGCAGAACTCTTATAGTATCAAAGAGGCATTTTTTTTTAATACATGTTCAGCCCACAAAGCTTCTAGTAGCACACATACAAGGTCTAGAACGAGTCTCTCATCTTCAAAAGCCTTTCTCTCCACTTACTGAATGTCTACAAAATTTATTATTTATTCCTCTTATCCTGACATGTCATTATATGATGGAATTTATAGGTACTTTAAATTGGTTTCAGGTATCATCATCCCTACCTGATTGTAAACTCTTTGATAGCAGGGACCATTTATCTTGTATCTTGCACTTCTTTTGATTCATTTACTTAAAAGCTACTCACTGAGTGCCAATTTTGTGCCCAAGTTTCAACATATAACAGATAACAAATGTTTTAAAAAGGGCATTTGGACCTTGAAAATATGACAAATCAACAGCTGCCCTCTTGGGATTCCATGTGAGAGCCTATGAGCAGAGAGATCAGAACAGATATAAGAAAGACATTTATTAAAAAAGACA